TTTGTAAGACCCCCGTACACAATAAAAAAACCGTAGCTCCTTATTAGCCCATCTCTCATTCTGAGGTCATAGGAGTAGCGGACACTTACCAGGAAGGTCTTTCAGGACGTGGAGCCGCTTTTTGAAAACGGTTTTTGCATGATATAGGGGCACATGCATGAAACACAAAACTAGGCTTCATTTTTCTGAGCGGCCCTCTGAATGCCGAAAAGGGGTGTAAAAAGCTCAAGTTCACACCTTTTCGACACCAGTTTCAGGTGAAAATCTATTCACATGGGGTACAGATGGCCATTATGGTGATAAGGTGTCCATTACTAGCTGCGGCCATTTCCATTTAGGGAGAGCAAATGCCAATCAAAAAATGCAAAAATCTGTCACCGTGGGGAATCGAAATATAAACCAATCGTTTATCCTTTTCGGCGCTCAGAGGACGAAACACAGCTCTATGTTCCATGCAAGTGCCCCTACACAATGCAAAAACGTTTCGAAAAACTGGGGCACGAACTGGAAGGCCTTCCTTGGTAAGAAAGGGAAAGAAAGTTCTTTGGAGAGCCGCTTTAAAAACTATTGACTCCGCTAGGTCTTCTTGAGGGTCAACTTGGCCCAAATAAGGCTGAATTGCATTCAAATGACGCCGAGATCTTTGAGGAAGCGCGTGAACAATCCTCTACCGTTGACTTTTCGTCTGAACCCAAGACTGCAAAATTCAGATGACAGCTTTGCAATCACCACCGCCGACAGTCACAATGTGTTCTTACGCAGCTAGCTGCCGTTCGTATGTATACTCTATTCCGGAAGACGAGAAGAAAATCGAGTGCAGCCGAGAGAAAAGGGCCTTTCTTGAGTCGTCGTTTCTTCTGGTGTGGTCGGCACTCGATTTTCTTCTCGTCTTCCGAAATAGAGGGTATGCAATGTACAGGCAAAGGTATCGTCCCAGTGCTCCACTGAATCGTAAACTACACACTCTGGGCAATGTACCTGTCAGCCAAGAAGAGAATCGCCTCGGCCACCTCTTCAGGAGTTCCAGCACGACCACATGGGATTCGTGAAGGCGATGCAGCGATTTCTTCTTCTATCTGAAGCACG